AGTACGAATCCATGCAGGTGGAGAGCATGCACTTCACCTTGGATGAGGAGCAGTGGGAACAGGACTGGTCCCTGATGCTGAACCTGGCCGGCCAGCCCGGAGCGGCCCTGGAGCAGATTCACATCTTTGGCCTGGCGCACATCCTGCGCCGGCCCATCATCGTGTATGGGGTCAAATACATCAAGAGCTTCCGCGGGGAGAACATCGGCTATGCACGCTTTCAAGGCAGGTTCCAAGTTCTTTGCCATGGTCATTCGTATTTTAGTCACAGCACTCACTAGTTGCTCATAAGTCTGTTGGCAACTGCCCAGCCTTTTGAAGCCACAAGTTAATTTGAATAAACTGTGATAGAGGTGTGTCTGGGTCATCATTTTTGCTCTTTTACTTGACTTGTGACTGGACTTGTGAATTGTGGTTTTCAAAGGATCTGGGATGTAGGTAAGATCATTCCCATCCTCTACTGCATTGTGAACACTCCATCAAGCTCAGTTTTTGATCACACTTTCCTTAATCTCCAGTTATGAATATCTAGTACTAGTAGTAGATAACCCTGACACCAAATTTCCTTGAAAACTGATGTTCAGAAAATGGACAATCTTATGTGGACACTTCCAAGTCCACACAAGGACCTTATTTGTTTTGCAGGTCCACACAAGGAATAACATACCTGTCTTTTCCCACAGGCGTTTATCTACCTCTACTCTGGGATCCCAGCTTCTGCTGGAAGAGCCCCATCACCCTGGGTTACACCAGGGGCCACTTCTCTGCCCTGGTCCCCATGGAGACGGACTCGGACGACAACCAAGGGGCAGGGGCCAACCTGAACACGGATGATGAGACGCAGACGGTCTACCTGCCATTGACAGACTTTGAGGGCAAGCTCCTTCCCATCCACTTCATAACCCCTCTGGAGGTAGGTTGTGAAAGGCTCTAGCTTTTTAGGGGGAAAAAGGGAGCTTTTTCCAAACCGAGTCTTAATTTTTGCCCGGGGCCTCTCTTGACACCAGTGCCACCTGCAGACAAGTGAGCATTATTATCTTGATTTGTGCCCAGGGTCAATGTCAGCCTCCTTTTTTTTTTTCTCAGTTGGGTTCGGAAGAGCGACTGTTGAACGAGTGGCTGGACTGCTGCTACACCACGGGCGGGGTCTTTGTAGCGCAACAGGTCCATCACAAACAGCGTCCCATCCTGATTGGCCAGATGGTGGAAGAGTGGCTCCAGCGGTACCGACGGATTGCTCAGCAACTCTGACGCTCGTCATTCCTCCCCAGCGCCGCGCGTTCATCGTAAGCACTTCACCCATGAACCCACAGTAGTTAAAACAGAAACTTGTATATTCATAGATTATATGACAAGTATCATACATCAGGTCCCTTGTGTAGCCTCCGGAAGGCACAAGTGTATTTTGAGATGAAATCCTACAAAATAGTGTATTTTTACGAGTGTGAGTAGCCGTGAAGAGAATGAATATTGTGAAGTGGTCGGACATATGAATCTTACCTAGGTTAGATTTCCTCTACATATTGGTATATACAGCACTCGCCACTTTTCGAAAGATGAAGAATTTTTTAGTTATCATTGCATTGAAACTTTTAGGATCTGTTTCCCTGGATATTTTGAAGCCAAAACCAAAACAGTAGTTGGCTGTGTATGACCAACTTAAAAGACTTTTACCGATTCGTACATTTCTTTAAAGTCTCCCGTAGAATAGATTGAAAGAGTCAAGGTGTCTTGAGTTGTTGGTCTACCAGGTGTGTTACATCTCGCTTTCTAGCCGTGTGTATCGCTAAACTATGCCATGTTGTGTCACAGGATACCTTGTACCGTGAGATCGGCATTTTCAGCCACAATTTGTGGGTTTTTTTCTTCATTTTCCCCTAGCAGGGTGTGATATCTACGCTCCAGTAGTTACCCAGAAGCTACGGCCCAAGCCTGATGGCTGGCCTTAAGTTTTTTCTTACTATCAGTATTTGAATTTCACAGGTTTTTATGCTCTGACCTCAAGGTGGACACAGCCAGACTGAAGTCTAGAGGTATTTTCTGAACTTTGGCTTCTTCCCCAATTTTGGCTTCAGGCTTCCAGTTTTGCTGCAGAAACATTAGATTTTACAAAATGACATCAATGCTTTTGGGGGGATCGTTTTAATGTCGTGCCAATGGCAAACTCTGGAGACCACATTTTTGTCTCCAAAGTGAAGCCGTAGTTTAAGACAAAGCCAAGATTTGGAAAATGGCACTTGCAGTGCACGTAGCTACTCCCGGACCACCAGACGACCTCCCATCTGAATTCAGGTCACAAGCTATTTAAATGAACTGCGACGGAAGCATTCCTTTGTCAGTGTACACCCTTTTACTGGTGACTGGTCTTGTCAATGGCCGTATGTCATGGTCTTGTGTCTGGTCTGGGGAGTGGCCTTATGATGGTTTTGACTACAGCACTGATGGGTACCAGTTTGGTTTGTGTTAGCATAATGTGTAATCACTTGTGATTCCGTATTTAATGCCGTTACACGTAACTGGCTGTCTCACCAATTGAACTGACGTCTGCAAAGCAGGATTTTCCCATTCAGAATTGTGTTACTTATACATCTGCAGTTTGTGATGTGGGTAATGGTAAGCCACGTTCAGATCTGTACTCTTGACACACTTCCTAATTTCACTTGGGATTCTGTCTGCTAACTGATTCCTCTGAAGTGTTGTGTCCTGTTGCTACAAAAAAAAAATCTACCTGCCCCATAGAAAAAGCGAAAGTGTCAGCATGCAAACTGTATTTATTTGTTGGATGTGCATGTAAGCAAAGTTAAGGTTTTACACTAGAAATATAGTAATTTCAAAGGAGGTATAAAGGATTTCATTTTTTTTTAAGTTTACAAATTATTTTAAAAATGAAGGCTTCGGTTAAGATGCTGCTTGCTTCTTAAATTGTCAGTGTCAATGTATTTCTCTCTTTTATGTCGTGAGTTTGGGTTTGGCTGCCTTGCCATATTATGTATTTATTTGGTTGAATGAGTCAGCACTTTGCAATAGATGACGCAAGTTAAAGTCAATTGTGAATTTCGTGTGTTCTTTTAATTTGTTTTTTTTTTACAACGTCTGTCAAATGAGTGGTGGCGGTGAATGCATCATTTACTGATGACTGGCACTCAACATCAGTCTTTATGGAGTCATGTTGCGTGGTACAGTTGTAGCACATTGGATTCATTATTACATGTATAGTTGATTCTGTTTCTCAATCTGAGATTTGGCACCTGAGTCCACTGATGACTGGCACTCAACATCAGTCTTTATGGAGTCATGTAGAGTGGTACAATTGTAGCACATTGGATTCATTATTACATGTATAGTTGATTCTGTTTCTCAAGCTGAGATTTGGCACCTGAGTCCACTGATGACTGGTACTCAACATCAGTCTTTATAGAGTCATATAGCATGGTACAATTGTAGCACATTGGATGCATTATTACACAC